GAACTAAACAGAGCACATCAGTGCCACCGCAGAAGTAAGAATCATATCGATATGTAACTAGAAAGAGAATCGAGAGATCTATTTCTTCAGCGCTTTAACCGCTTTATCAGCGGCATCGTCCAGATCTTCTGCTGTAATTAGCGCCATTCCACTTTCCTGAATAGCCATTAACAGACAGTAAAATTTCCATTTTATCTTGGATAATACCGACAGTTTTTACTGACACATCAGGATTAAGTTTCTAATGGTACCTTGAGAATCCTCTTTCCCTGGTCAACATTGGTACCTTCAAGGCGAACAATCACCGGCACTTCTAGTTTAACCTTGAACAAGGATGAACAAATGTTAACGCCGCATAAAAACTAGATTGAGGACATAATTACGCGAAGCTGTTAAATTTAGAGTTTATGAGCTCAATTAACTAGAACAATTTCCACCCGTTCCCTCATGGGAAGGAAGTGCCAAATTGTATTTTCCCTCCGCAATTATTCAATCTCTTAAGCGTAATTCAAAATGATGTTTCACTTTAGTGAAACAAAGATTAATTTAAGGGAAAAAAAACACAGAACAGTATTGCTAACCAGTTTAGCAGCATTGACAATTCCACTTGCAATCACATCACATTTCATTATTCCACCAAATATATTGACCAAAATGGCTTTCACCTTCTCATCAGAAGTCAATATCTTAAACGCCTCAACAACCTGTTTCGCATAATCTAGAATTAGAGAGACAAAAGAAATCCGGGTTTCGTAAGGGCTTTAAGAAATTTCCATTTTAGTTAACAGAAAAATGAACAATAAAAAATAATATTTCGAACATGAGTTAGCACTCAGATGTGCACGCGGCACTTCACAATCTAGTAAACCATTTCAAATCCAAAGGCACACACAATAGATACAGATAAAAAACGAGAAAATGAAACTAGAAATGAAAAGATTTGATGACGACAGTGGGAAACAAAAGGTCCAACAAGCAGTTCATCAAATCCTATGACTACATCCTCACCTGGTTTTCAGAAGCATTTCCGCCAACATCTAGAAAATTGGCAGGAGTTCCCCCGTGTAACTTAATGATATCCATAGTAGCCATAGCTAATCCTGCACCATTCACCATGCAACCAATCTCCCCATCTAAGCCAATATAATTCAAATCTGCTTTGGCAGCAGCCACCTGTCAAAAGGTAAAAGAGACCAGAGAAAAATAATTAAACAGAGGGTATACTGTTGTACGTGTATCAGAAAACCTACAACATCCTAGACAAAGCATCTCCAGCAAACAAGCTCATCTGTGGCATGTGGGCTTCATTATGATTTACGATATACTATATCCAGTAGACAATATGGGACCTTTATAATCCCTATTAATGAGTCCCAACTTTCCTCAACACTTAATGGGGGTGGGAATCAGGAATACCTATTAAAAGCTGACCCGGGTTTTAAGAGGAGTGTACGAACCTACCCAACCCAGGTCATGATTAGAAACAGTAAATTCCATTTCAAATTAGTAAAATGTGTGCAAGACTTTTTGTTAACAACAGCAAAAATCCTCACTAAATTTTGAAATGGACATACTGCATATACATTATACATATGGAACAAAAATGAATTATGCCGACAAAAATTTTATACAGAAGAAGATAGGATGATTAGTGGAAATGGAGAGCACAAGCTGATAATACTAATCAGCTTAAAGTGGGGTCAAACACAAGGATGACTATCCACTGAAAAGGACAACACACCTCTCGGGGATCCTCCTGCGATGGATCGCGAAGAGCAAATATCTCTTTCTGACGATAAGCAGCATTGTCGTCAAAGTTCAACTTGGCATCAGCAGCTACTAGTTGGTTATCAGCAGTTTCTGCAAGTGGATTGATCTGTCCAAAATCAAAGGTCAGACAAATGTGAAACAGAATAATTTGGAACTGGGAAGCTTACATAGTAACGTTACTAGAACCAATAAGTTTATACTCACTTCCAGCAGTGTACAGTCAGTCTCACTGAATAGCTTATATAATTTCTTCACTTGATCGATTGAACTATTCCTATCAGCTCCTTTTGGAGCCAAACCATCAACAACCTTTGCAGCATCTTCATCTGTAATTCCGGTGAAAACATCGATAGGTACCTATCAACAACATAACCAAAAAATAAAGATAAACAAGAAACTAGTTAAATAACTATATAGAAAAGGAAAGAGTAGTGCTACAGCATCAAAACTAAAGATGAGGATGGCTACCTTAATTATCTGATCGGGGAATTTCTCAGCAAGGTCTTCAATGCTGGTTCCACCCTTTGCACAAGCAATTATAAGCTGGAAAATGGGATAAAAATTAAGCATCTTTAGTTTAGAGAGCTCAACTTTGATGAAAACTTATGTTACCAAAGACAGAGTAATATATAATCAGAAATTTGCAGCAAACACAAAGAACTGAGTTCGAAAATATACTGGGCCAGCAGATTTGCGATCCAGAATGATAGAAAAGTACATCTCATTGACAAGTGACAACTTTTGGCACAAATAAACCTGTACAAGCAAAGGAAAGAGACCAAAGCCTGAGTAAAAATGAAGTTATGATTTACTAGTTCTAGAAAGTTTGTGGCTTGGGACTTCTTAGCACCAAGCATCATTTCATATAAAGTAAAAGTGAAAGTTTGGAATCCTCGGCCACAAAGATTCCAAATTTTAATAAAAGTGAAAGCTCAGAAACTATAATGCATGCATTGCTTCAAGCTAACATGAACGGACAACTTGAAACAAATTGCTTTGCCAACCTTGCTGACAATTTTTCCCTGAGGACCTGTTTGCTTGGTAACAAGAATTTGCCCAAGCATCTTGCCTGCACGATTAGTATAAATGGAGATAAATAAGCATCACAAGATGACAAAGCAGAACCGCATTTACTAAGCTGCAACTGCCTGAATCATATAGAAAACTAACCGTACAGTAACACATCACGGATTGATTGTAAACTAACATGCATGCATTGCTTAAGGGCCAATCAAGAGTGCAAATGACATATGCTAGTAAATTGTACGAAAGCCAAAGTAGATATTTTTAGTCCATAGTTAATGATAAAACCATGAAAATCCGATCATATTTAGCAATGATGGCTATTAATACCAGCGATATCTTCAACTTGGTTAGTCGGGACAATGTGAACACCACCCTTGAGACCATTTTTAAAAGTTCCCAAGCCTCTTCCACCAGCCAAGACTTGGCTTTTAACCACCAACTGCACCAAAATTGAAGTTAGCATCTCTCCTTTTAAGCCACTATGGTAGTTTTCGTAGAAAGTAAGATATAACGAGAAACAAATTTCGAACTTTCACATGTTTACCATTTGCAAGCTGGGGATTCATAAATCTAAATATGAAAAGACTATGATCTCCGATGATTACCTCACTTTCCTTGGGAAATGCATCCTGAATTGCCTTTTTGACTTCATCGACGGAACCAGCTGCGACACCTTTCGGGACATTGACCCCGTATTTGCTCATCAATTCAGCCCCCTGATCTCAACCGAAAATGAAAGGCATTCATCATCAAACTTCAAACAACATTCTCACACAAATACAATCCAACCCAATTACTTGATTGATATACACTATCCAAAATATAACACAATTTAAAGTTCTACTTTTTCACTGATCAGTACTGTTAGCTTTGCAAATTTATATGAACTAATCGAAATTAAACAAAAATATTTATTGAAACAAATGAATATTATCAAAAAATCGAAAAAGTGTCCTTTTCAAATTTCCAGAATTTATGGAGGATTAAAACAGAAACAGATCGCAGACTGATAGATATGAGAGTTTGGTTGTGACTGTAAGTGCGAGTGAAATATACACACAGATAGAGACCTGATATTCGTGGATGTTGAGGCGGCGGAGCTGTTGCTGCTGCCATTTTCCGGCGACGGAGAGAGAGCGGGAGGTCAGCTGCTTCAGTAATCCTCTCACCATTGTTGCAAGCTCCCAAACCCTAAAACCCAAACAACAACTGCAGAGAGAGAGAGAGAGAGCGATTGCCGGACGCAGAGGCGATTGCGTCTGAGAATTGAGAACGCGAAAGGGATCCCTAGTGCTTTTTCTTCTTCTATTTTTTTTTTAATTAAAACAAAATCAAAATTGCTTTTGACCCGTTTTAGGTATTTTCATTTTATGATTTTGTTGCTTTATTATTTTGCGATTTGAGTTTTCTTTTTAGAATGACTAACGAAAAGTTTTTAAAAACTTTAGTTTTAATCAAAAAACAAAATAAAAATATAGGTGAATTATACCAGAAGTGACTTTTCAAGGTAAAAATATCCTTAACGTTTAAAATAAATAGTAACATAAGTGTTTCATTAAGATTCTTTTTCTTTTTCTTCTATTTTTTTCATTATTTTTATGAAAATTTTAAAAAGTAGTCAAGTTTTGAAAAAGTGATGGATTGTATGAGTATTTTTCTCCAACTTATTTCGTTTACAGTTCAAATCACTTTTTTTTTTTTTTGGCTGGACCAATTTATTCAATTTTAGATTCAAATCGTGCACCAAGTTGCACATTACGGTTTGCCTAAATTTTAAATCACAATGGTTAAAAATCGACATACTTGAATTACTAGTGTTGTGATTTAGTTTGGTTCAGTTTGCAATTTAAACCATTACCGAATGAAAAAATTTCAAATCTATATTGAAATTTTTTAATAAACATGATCAAATAATAAAAAATTATTTTCAAATTAACTCAACTCAAAGTTTCATACTTTCAATCTCTTAATTTCAAAATGTTTATTGTTCCAAAAAGAAATCAAAATGTTTAATAAAATACTATAATATATAATTTAAATTATATATTTTTGTTCAAAAAAATATATTATATGTTTTATCCATTATAGTTATTTTATTATAAAACAAAAAAAATTAGTAATCCCCTAACTTTTAGTGTTATTTCAAATTTATCTCAATATTTTTAAACATGCCAAACAAATACCCAACTTATTAAAAATATTACATTTTTAAGTCCCAGTCATTTATTCATTCAATGCCCATGTGGCAACAATGGGTTCCACTTATTTGCTTGCTTGGACACTAAAATAATAATAGCTTCAAAAAAGACATAAAAATGAAAAAGCAAAATAAATACACAAATCCATGAATAAAATGGAAAACAAAAATGAAGATCGAGAAATCTCCTAACAAATAATAGTGTTAAGAATCCATATAGGGTTTCAAGGAGCTTGTTATGCTCATCTAATTTCCTCGTTTGCTAATTTTTGGCTACTAGTAAAGTTTCCAATTCTTCTTTGTGGATGGTGAAGATGGTAGTGGCTGCATCATGGCAATCCATACCATTTCAGCAACCTCTAAGACCTTCTTCTCGATGTTAACACTCATTCAAGACCAATATCCAAGGGATCAACAGCTTTTACCTGCAAATGCAACCTGCTTTCGATCACGCTCCACGCTTCAAACTTCTAAGTAAACCAACGATCTCACCAGCACATAATCCGTTGCTTGAGGCCAAAACTCATTAGGACCGATAACCAAGCATAAAGAAACAAAAACAAATCTAAATCGGTGCAAATTTTAGGTACCAGAATGCCATTAGCAAGGCGAAGAGAACTCATTGGCATCAATCCAGGAGGGCCTCTTTGCATTGTAGTAAAAATGCGCGATCATCGGAACCAGTTCTTCTGCAGTCCGAATCTCTGCAAAAGCAAAACATAACACCAAGAAAATATGGTAATTCTTGCAAACAACTGACAGAAACTAATCGGAAGACACAAGTCCACTTCCAACCTTTCTCTCTGTACAAGATCCTGTTTCCTCGTACAAACAAAATCTGAGGACAGTCTCTAACTTTAAGAGCATAAGCCAAATCTCTCTCGATGTTGATGTCTATCTTAACCGACTGTCGAATGCAAAAACACCAATTGAAGGTAAAGTTACTAGATTTAACAATGTTCATCGATCAAGAACACAAATTGGTGCTAAAGTTAGTAAATTTAACAACGATCATCAATTAAATCATTGCAAAATTGGAAATTAACGAGGTCGAAAACACGCATACCCGAGGAGGCAATCGATCTTTGGCATTCCAGTAGACCTTGACCGCCTTTTCGAGCTCTTTCAACGCCTTCCAATTCTCGCTTGCTCTGTTGTACCTCGCGAAAACAAGAACAAGAAGAGGACTTGGGTGAAAAGCAAAGCTCTCCCACTCCAAGCAGTTGATCTCCTTCACCCAATTGTCTTCAACCTCGCCTTCCCAATCAATCTCAACCCCATTGTCGTCCACCACGTTTCGAATTGGGTGGTTCTCGAAGTACTCCGACGCCCGAATCCCCCACCCCACATCGGCATCCAACGGCCAATCCTTGCTCTCTTCCTCAACCACCATGCTCTTCTCCCTTCCAAAACCCTCCTCCTCCTCATCCTCCTCCTCACCATCGTCCACTTTCCTCTTCATTACTTCATCTTTCTTCTCAACAATTTCTGGGTTCTGCTCTCTGATCGACGCAAACGTCCGATCAAGTGACTCCCGCATGTAATCTTCAACCGCAGCCGCTTCGCTCCTGCGCCCGCGCCGCGGCTTTCTCGGAATCGTCGCTGGAAACGTCTCGCCTGGCTCTTCACCTTCGTGTTCAGAAGTTTCCGCTTTACGGCTGCGATATTTCGGTTTCGGATTGGAGCGAGCTATGAGGTCGGGCTCCGAATCGAATTTTCTCGAAGTAGCATAGCAAGGAAGAGAGTTCAGAGTGCGGGTGCGGTGCAGAGGGGAAATATGTAGCATCGGCGGGAGACAAGTTTGATGGCGCAGCATTTTATTGGTTGTTTCCGCAGCCCAAGTGTTTGTGGAAATGCCTCACCGAACTCAACCGCTTTTTTCCTTTTCTCCTTTTTCCCTCCTTTTTATTACCCGCCTCCTGTCGGTTGTTATATTATCAAAAGAACATTGCTTGCTTTTTTTTTTTTTTTTATGTAACGACTTGATATCATTTCACACCTTCACTTCACACCTTCAGCCATGGAAGCTCTGCAAGCTTCCCTCCCAAAAGTCCCTCACACGGTGTGAGTCACACCCAATTCGAACCCGACGCTGATAAAATCAAACGCAACCTCACCAAGAAAGGCTTCCCGCCCGCAAGTCCCTCACACCCAATTCGAACCCGACACTGATACAATCAAATTCAACCTCCGAGTGCTCGCCAGTACTAGTGCGGTGTACGGCGGAGAGAAGCTGAAGAAGGAGGAGTCCTTCTTACATCTGGCTTCTGCGTTTGGCTTTCTGCTTTTCTTCTCTCTGTTTTCTATCTGGTTTTCCAAAATTCAAGCTTCGGTCTTTCTGGCTTCTTCGTTTGCCTTCAGTTTCAGCGTTTCCCATAAAAAAAATTAATAAAAAAATATTTGAAGAATTTGACATCAACATCTTTGCTGCCAATCCATGTCAGCTCTACGTAGGAATTAGCATTTAGGTTGGAGAATATTAGTATGGTCTTTTATTACTGTTATAGCTTATATGGATATTTTGACATCTTCTTTGAAGATGCTCTAATATAGCAGAGACAAGGAAGAAGACGATGCAACGTTAAAGTACATTTTTACCCTTACATTAATAGATATTTAACTAAAAAATTACTTTTAGACTAAATTTGTTAACAGATTACACCACAAGAATTTAAATCTTATTTTTTTAACCACGAAGTCTATCATCCGATTACCTTAACATCACGAGGATCATTTATCCGAGATCTTTTTCTTTAACGTATTTAAAGTTATGATATTGTTGATGTGCAAAATTGATTCAGCCTTGGATCAACTTAGAAATGAAGTGGGCCTCCGCAGAGATGTTCCGGTCACCTGATACTGGTGTTTTAGCTGGTTGGCTTTGGTAAGAGGCGTGGAGCTTAAGTGCTGAGTGAGGGGGTGAGTTGATTCGCCATGTGTGCTTCGGAGGACAGGCCTTCGGCAGGTGTGCTTTGGTAGACTTGCCTCAGCACGTAGCAAAGACTTAGTAGTGTCGGGATCGATCACCTATGGTACAAACAGTGCTCTTTCAAGTTTTCCAAGGACTTCTCAATTGACGCTAATTTTTTCTCTTTCAATAATGACGTGAAAGAAAAATTTAGAACAAGTGAGGGAGCCAGATTTTTAGAGGAAACAGAGCTATTTTGAAGTAGAATCCATATGATGAAGTAAATTGATCTGATTGAAAGGTGTAAATTTTGGTAGTGAAAGTCAAGCATTGCAGATTTGACCTCTATTGTGCCCATGACTTATCACTTTTTTTTTTTTTATCCAAGGTAACATCCATTACCAGTAACAACAAATTTTACAATACAGAGGACTAAAATTTACAACAAAAAGGCCCAAAAACCAAAAACACAAAGAAACAACAGTGGCCCAACCAGAAGTTGAGACCGAAACAAAAGAAAATTGAAAACAGCCAGTTCCGCTGCATCCTCCGTCATAACCACTGCTGGAACCACCAAAACAGCAGATGTGCATGTTGATCCACACAAATTCTGCCCCTAATTAAGCCTTGCCTCATCGATACCAGCATCCAATCCCAAGCTTCACTCCTAGCACAGCAACATACAACAAAGAACCTGCAGCCAATTGAAAGAAGCTCATGGGAATCCATGAGCAACACTGCCAACAAAGGCAAACAACAAAGAGAAGGTGGTGATGCAAGGAACACCCGACCCAGTAGAAGCACCATATCTATACTCACCAACTCGAAACACCGCAACAAATTATGGATTTTTTAAAGTCAACTTCCAACGTTTATACATTCACTAGGTTTTATCAATTTTCTAAGGTTTTAAGGATTTTTTTTTTCATATTATGTTTCCTTAATCCTATTAGAATTCATGGCAAGCTCAAGGTTAAACACGAGAAATTTTTATTTGTGACGGGAACACAAGTGGTACACCACGAGTTTTAATAGAAGTGGTGGGAAATTTTATTTTTTAAGTTATTAATTTTTTAGCACACATATCCCATCATTTATATAATGACACGTGATGTACTACCCCGTGTACCGGTCACATTGAAAAAACTCTTGTTAAACACATTATAAAACATCTTTTCGTGGTGCTAAAAATTTTATCTTTCTAAAACAGTCTTTTGTTGATGAGGGATGCATTGGAAAATTTGCGCCAAATCAAATAGATGTTGGGAGGATTCCTCTTTTTAAGGGAAATCAATGCATAGAAGATGTTTTTTCAATTGGAAATGGATCGCGGTTGTGAGTGAATCCTTGAGGGAGGCAGATTGTCTGCCCTCTCATTACCATGCCCTTCCCATCCCCTCCTACATTATGCAGTCACGGTTAAGTCACGTCAATATTTTATATTGATTTTTTTTATAAAGATAATAAGATATGTTGACGTGGCTTAACCGTAACCGTACAAATAGGAGGGGATGAGAAAGGTATGGTAAAATGAGGGCAAACAATCTGCCTCCATCCTTGAGACAATAAAAATCTCAAAAGAGAAGGTGATGGAAGATAGAAATTGACAAGATGAGAAAGTGTACGTTTCTCTCTTTTCTCCAAGTCAATTTTTGGTGGAGCAAAGATGTTCCCCAATTGATACAAAGGATAAGATTTTGTTCATATTTCATGTTTGCTTATGCATACGGAGAAGGAGACAGTGAGGGAAAGAGCATAAAAAAAATTTCTTGTTGGACTAAACAGAAAGAGGTTAAAATCTTGATATACCGACAAGCCAGCGCAAGTTTATTTCGTTGGATTTCTTTAGGAAGATCAACCAGTCGACATGTAGGCACAACCAATTTTTCCTCCTTACCCAACCACATTAAGCACTCTCCTTCCCAACGTCCAAAAGTATGAGGAACAAGGTGGTGGCGACGAATCCGACCGCCTTGCTGGCCGGTGCTCGCGATGGGATTCCTGGTAACAAACGCCAACTACGTAACGACTACAGAAACCTGGATATTGTACATTGTATAATCACAACAATTACAGCATGTAGCAATCACAACCATACACTAATCATTTATGTTCGTTGGTTTTCCTTTGATTTATTCAGTTCAAATTTAAAAAAATAAATAGATGTACATGCAACTTGGACGGCTAATATTGTTGTTGAACTAATGTTCGGTGGATTAATGTATGGCGTCCGATTAATTTACTTCAGCTGACTTTAAGTGTTTGGATGTAGATGTTATTTTAGGTGTGGGATTTCTAATATTGGTTTTTGTTACTGTTTAAGGTAAACTCTATATTTATAAATGTTGCAAAATGATGCTTGTGTTTTAGGCGTCACATAGACGTACTTCTAAACTAGGGAAAATGATTCATGTCGGATCTTTTCTTGGGAATTCTAGAGATCCATTGATTGTGGTCGTTCATCGTTCATTGTAAATCGTGCGATCAGTTTTCGTTAGGTACTGTTTATATTTAATTTTAAATTTTATAGTTTAACATGATTTATGACCGCACGATATACTATGAACAATCACGAGATCCCTGATATCCCCATAAGAAAGATATGATGAGGATCTGTTTCCCTCAACAAAGGCGCATTTTACACTAGAAAGAAGGGTAAGGAATTGGAATTAACCTCTCTTGCTTATACTCAATCTCGTGTGGACACGTGTTCAAGTTTTAATTAAAAAATCAAAATTTAAATACGTGTCCACTAGAAATTAGGGGTAAGCAGAAATTGGCTGCTGAAAATTCAGTAGCCAAGTCTTGTTAAAAGGAATTTGGAAGAGGAGAAGCTGACCGGGACCTTGTTTTGATCCTTGGGTTGCTCCGCCCCTATGCGGAGAGAAAATTTTGAATAGGGAGGCTGGACCACGTGTCCTCGACGGACCACTCACAAAACACGCTCTCTACCCCACCTCCCTGATTTGTCAAGTCCGTCGATTTCCAAAATTTGGTCCCACCCCATCTAATAAAGGCTTTGTCCGGGTTCCGGACAAAAGAAGCTCTCCTATGCAGGACCAAACCTCAAAGGCTTAAGTACTGTGACGATGTAGGCGTTGCAAGGCTGAAAATGGAACTTTGTTTCATAAGATATAAATGTAATTTGCATACAAATTTGTGATATTAATCTAACTAAACGAACTGTAGACAGCAAATTATTTTCTTAGAAGATTGTTAACAAATGGAAATAAAGAGATTAGGTGGAGAAACACTTGTTCAAAGTTATGATTAAATACTGACGTATCTCACCGTGTTCTGAATTCTTACCCATCAATACTCCATGGTTAGCGATCTTGATACTCACAACAAAATTATAGATCATTTATTTTGAAACTAGAGAGTATATCGATAGGTAACAAAAATAGGTGTCTATTATTCAGATAATAACGTATGGAAGATAATTCTCACTCTTATTTTATGCACACCGCGCCTTTGCTTGTTTATGTCCCGTAATTCACCCTCGGTTCATTCGATTTCGTGTGGCTAGAAATAGGAGAAGTGCAAGGGGATAAATAATGAATGTGTAAACTGTTTTTCAGGTAGCGTTATTTATACACTTACTTTTATCTCAGACATCTCTTATTAATTTTTATCTTTTAATTTTATTTAATTCATTCAATATAACGATTAAAATTTGATAAGCGTATAAAAGGTTAAAAAACGATCTGTTAAATTGAAATGACATTTTATCATACATTTGGATGACAAGAGGACATTTTATAATACATTTGGATGACAAGAGAGAGACACACATTCATAAAGCAATGCCTACCTAAAAGCCCCTGCAACTACTAAACATTTTTTCTTTTGCATTTTGCCCCCTACAGAAATCCTAATTTCCATATTTGGAGCCAAAAATGCCAGATGGATTTTTAATCCTTGCACTCCGCGCGTCCCCCACAAAGCTCTCCTTTGCCTCACAACTGTAAAAACCCAGCGAGCTGAGTTGGATTCACAACGCCAGCCAAGTGGGCCCCCTCCGTTTTCAGCAAATCAGCGACTTCCACGTATCTCTCCAAGCTCTCGAACTTCGGCTCGGCTTCGATCTTGCTGCTGCTGACTCCCGAAGGAGCCGGCTCGGCTCGGGACGGGTCCCACGGCTGCCCGAGGAGGCTGCCCCTGGTGAGGAACTCGTGCGCCAGATAGCCAGCCAGGAGCTGACCGGGCGGCTGGGCTGGCTCGGACGGCTTGGCTTGGGGTGGTGGGGACAGCTTGAGCGTCTTGGTCCGCTGGAGCGCGTCGAAGTCACCCTCCTTCTCCTTGCGCTTGTTGTTGCTGTTGGTATTATTTGACGCATTGGTCGTCGAAATCCGACGAGGTGGCAAACGCATCGTTTTGGTGTTCATATGATCGCTCTCTGTGTGCATGCCACGTGTGCAGCAGCAGTTCATAAAAAAATGGACCACAAATCCAACCCAAGAAGGATAACAAATCCGATTAAAAATAAAAGTTTTTGGGAGTAAAAACCAAAACGTCACCGATTGAGGGGTAAAACGGTGACTTCACAGCAAAAAGGAAACTGACTCTGGGACAAAAGAGGGAATTTAAAAAAATTCAGGACCCACCAAACAAATAAACAAAAAATTTAAATTAAAAGAAAAAAAGAAGATAAGATTTGGGTGGGAGAGGAGAGGCCGTACGGGAAAGTGGCCGGACGTACGGCAAAGTGGCCGGAATCTGGAGAAAGATTGTATCGAAGAGAGAAGCTAGAGAGAGAAAGATTGAGGAGAGAGAGAAGAACTGAGAGAGGGGAAAACAAATATGATTGAGGAATGGGAGAAGGGGTTGGGTTCTCTATATTTATAGATGTGGAGTTGAAGGATTGCCCATGATTGTACAAGAAACTACGAGAATGCCCGGATGTAAAGAATGACGTAAATACCCCTATGCTTTATATGGAGGCTAGGAGTTGGCAGGTCAAAAAAGGTTTGGATTAGATTCTGTTTAAGGAAAGGGATCCTCTCCATATCCATTTTGTGGGAATTTTAAGGATTCTCACATCTTAGCCGTTTATAGTTATATTGTACGGTCAATTTTCGTCAGATAATATTTGTGTTTAATTTTAAATCGAATTATTTATAACCACACGATACACGATGAATGACTAAGATGTAGGAATTGATCCGGATGGAATCCAATTCCCCTGTTTAACCCCAATTTAATGTAAGTTTTTGTGCCACGTGCTTCATATTGTCTAAAAATGATTTCACTCACACCATCCGATGTGGCAAACGATTGTCTTCGATTCGTGATACTACAATTGAATAAGAGGAAAAGATTATGATAATTTGGTTAAGTTCAATTAAATTTGACTTTTACAAAGCATATTGAGCTGTAATAATTAGAAATATTTACTGCTACACTCAAGATCGGAGTTCGAATCTCCTCTCGCCGTTTGATCTCACTTGTAACAAAATCTTAGGTGTAGGGTTGTTGTAGGCAAAAACATGAACTTTGTTACGACTTTTTCTAAGTGCAATGCACTCTTGAAAGTTTATACTTTGTGAAAGGGGTAGTCCAATTTGAATATGATTAGTTGTCACATAAAAGTAATATTCCAAATAGGATATGGAACTTGAGATATATTAACATAAATGAATTGAAATTAATAAAAATATAACATGCTAACGAAATAACTAATGGATTAGGTTACTCTCAAAAGAGAAATAACTTTGTTTTGATATGAGGAACATATATACTTAATTAGAATCGTAAGTAGATTTTTATTTTAATTTCTCGATTTGAAATAAACAAAGTTGAGAGATTCAAATTTATAACCTCTTTTCAATATTCTATACAAATTTATTTTATAAGTAGCGAATGAGCGAATTAAGTTTGGTTTGAAATGAAGAGAGAAAAAAAACTATAGTCTTAACTTTATAGTGCTTGGAAGGATGACAAAGTAGTATTGCATCGTAGTTAGGATGTTAATATACTATAGTGTTGAAAATAAAAGGATTGATTTTCGCACTTTTTTTTCTTTAAAATTCGTTGCCCTACTCTTCTTGTTTGTAATCACAAGGATGAATAAATCAAAAGTGAATCAAATGACAAACAGAGGCATGCAAGACCGAAGTGTTTAGCTCTAATGGCAGGTAATATTTTCCTCTATACTCAAGATCAGAGTTCGAATTCCCTCTTGCCCTTTGAAACTTGTAAGTTGTAACAAAGTCTTGGGTGTGGGTTGTTGTACAAAAAAAAATATAAGCATGTGGTCCAATATCCTAGTGGATAGGATGTTGGGTTTATATCTATGCGTCTCATATTCGAAACTCCTCATTCTTTAAATTATTGTAATAATTTTGAGTCATCCCCTTTTCCTTAATAAAATAATAGTTATTTAAAAAATAAATAAATAAATAAACAGATGCATGCAAGACGACAAAAAGAAATTCGGTATTGAAATTCAAATTTGTGCTAATTAATTACTACTTATGTGTAACGCAGAGTCGACCCTGAAGGTGTGCAACAGGTGCCACCGCACAGGGCCCCGATTCAGAAGGGCTCCCAAATTTTCATTACATGTATACAGATGCATATAAAATAGATTAGATGCAAAAAACAATTATATATGTGGTTCTAGTGCTAGCGGTTTAGCTCTTTTTCCTTATATACCTTGTGCTGTGTTCGAATCCCTATGATATTGTTTTGCTATTATAAGTTTTTGCAAATTTGTAAACTTAAAAAGAAGATAACAAAAACGCATCCAACATGTATCGAACTCAGGACCTTTGAAGGTAAGGAAAAATACATAGCCGATCAAACAACTTATTTTTGTTGTAGTAACTAGTAATAGTTTAGTTCTATAGATGAAAAAATTGAAAAAAATAATTATAAAAAAAATGAAGGGCATCCATCTAAATTTTGCATAGGGCCCCTCAATACTTAGGGCCGGCCCTGGTGCAACGAGTATATGTTGCATACATTAGCGAATCTGACCATAGTTAAATATATTGTTTACCTATTGATGAGATTCTTACTTTCAATATACTTCCTCACGTATCAAATTGTTTAAACATAACATGTTGAATACATATATTGAGTTTTGTAAAAGTACATAGATTGTCAACTCAACACATTGACTGTCTACTATAAAACGATATTAAAATACGACATTCAACCTAAAATTAATTTTGTGTGTTTAAATAGTATATACGTTTGATAATTTGAGTTAGGACAATGTGTCTAACCCTTCATCAACGTAATCTAGAAGATACGTAAGAAAATTAGCGGGAAAGAATGTTAAGAATGAGAAATAACAGCCGGCTTTGGAATGGTGTTGTTAATCCCGTTTAACGCCAACGACGCGTCATAAAACGCCACCGTTTTTCCACGTGGCGAACAATGAGCCTCAGCCGCCGTGGTAAAAAGTAAATAGATTCTACACCGGCGGGTCTTTGGTATCATTTGGTACGTGGGATGAGATGGAATAGAATGGAACGAGACATTCCATCCTACGTTTGGTGAGTTTAAAATGGGTGGAACGCGTTGTTTCACATGACAAATTTTGGGTGAATTTTCATTCCGTCTCACCTCCTTGGAACGACTCGTTCCACATCCCACATCCGTAGAACACAAAGTTATAACATCTCCGTCTTCTTCTTACTCCTGTTTCCATCCGAGAACATTTTTACTCCCTCTCCTCTCGGTTCCTTACCGTCCCGTTCCGTCCCATATGCATACAACTTCCAAAAACCCCCAACTTTCTTTTATTTCTTTAATTCTAAATCCCTCAATTTCTTAACCCTCGGCAAAATCTTCAACCGCACGCTTCCAATTCAAAAAATTTCAATGCCCTTGTCTTCCCCAAATCACACTCCGAAGCAAGCAATCAGAAGGGTAGAAAGGGAATTGGAATCAAACTGTAGTGGGAGTAATGCATTGGCCTCCTCTGCTTTTCTGCTTTGCAAAAACGAAAGGTGATTGGTGATTGATTGCTTTTTTTATCGGGGTTTTGTACAATTAAAGGTCGTTTTTATCAATTTCTTGGGTTTGGGATTGTCGTTTTGGCTGTGGTGTTGGAAATTTATGGTGAAGTTTCGACTTTTGGTCCTGGATGGTGCCAATTGAGGGGTTTTGTTGGGTGGGGGGCGGGAATTGGATGATGCTGTTGGAGTTTCTGAAGTGGGATTAATGGGGTTTTGTTTTTATTGGTGTTGTCATATGGTGATTGATAAAGTTAGGGTCTTGGTATTGAATTTTTCTAAATTTAAGTGTTTATCATTGCTCTTGAATTTTCTGTATGTTAATTTTGATTAGTAAGTATGTTATTTTTCCAGTGTTGGAAATGTGGTTATATGCAGGATTAGTTAGTTGTGATTATCGTAATTATGTGCAAAAGTTCGAGGTTTAGTGTTTGATTGCGTGATTGATTATTTATCTTAATTTGATCATGGTCTAATAGTTACAAGTTAAACGTTGTATTTCGATTTTACGTATAAAAGTTCCTGAGTTATTGTTGGTGGTGGTTTTGGTGGTTTAAGATTTTGGAGCATAGTGAAGCATTATGAAGAGGGGGAGTAGTGAAACAGGGAGGAGGGGTAAACCTTCTTCGAAATTTAGAAAGGTACTGAAGTGTTTCCGTTCAGGAGAGCAATTAAGAACGGCAGATGAAATGGTTCCTCCAGAAAATGAATCCATTGCAACCAAGGATCATAAATCAAGTGAATCTTCGTCGCGAGCTGGGGAGGCTACAAAGAAACTGAAAGCTGGCAATATAGAAGAAGCTGAATCATCTCTGCGTGAGAGTGGCTGTTTGAACTATGAGGTTTGTTTTCTAGAACCTGACTATCTGTAGCTATGTAATCTTTTTAACGGTGACCTTGGAAGTTGTTTGTTTAATTTAAGGTATAAATTTTGAATTTTCAGGAAGCAAGAGCGCTATTAGGAAGATACGAATATCAGAAAGGAAACATAGAAGCTGCTTTACATGTATTTGAAGCAATAGATATTGGTGCATTGACTCCGAAGATAAAAATCACCCTTGCCAGAGGAGGTGAGCGTCGTAAAAGGCGCTCTCAAAGTTTTTCTACTCCGCCGTTGTCTATGAATGCTGTTACTTTACTTCTTGAAGCGATATTTCTGAAGGCAAAATCATTGGAGGCTATTGGGAGGTTTAAAGGTAATAAGCGCATTTACACATTTTCATTCTTGTTTGCAGAATATAAATATGTTTTGTGACATTTTGTAATGTTGTCACCGTCAAACCAATTCAGTTTAAAATAATGTTCTGTTATGCTTCACCATTGTCTTGAGTGTTTTACCTAGGATTCTAGGATGGGTAAAATGAACAAAGGAATATGTGTACTTTGCTTGAAATCAGGCCATCACT